TACTTTTTTGACATCATTCTCTGTAATTAGCAGCTCAATTTTTGATGATTTTTAAGAGATTTTATAAAAGATCCCGTGACCTCAGTTTGGATCATAAAAGATCATCAACATAAAGTTTGATGATTCTAACATATTTGGACATTTTACATAAAAAGAAGTAGGTCACAGTGACCTAATTTTTGGACATCTTCTCCAAAAACCCAAGATATCATACAAAGTTTGATGATTCTAAGCCAATGGTTATAATACTTAAATTAATTTATAACCGTGACATTTACAATGTACTCTGTAAAAAAAATAACTACAAAGTTTGAATGTTCTAAGTCAATAAATACCTAAGATATTAAAATATACCATAAAATGTCCATACAATCACTACCTATATTAGTAGTTTTACCAGATATTGGTATATTTGATAATCCTAGGTAAGATCAAAATATGTTTTAAATTTAGAAAACAAATGCCTGATGTAGGTAACTTTTTTAATAGGTATGTTTTAAGGTCCCAAGATGCATCAATTAACAAGATTTGATGATTCACAACTCTCACTGAAATAATTGGATTAAATGTTTTAAGAAGAAAGTTTAAAGTTCTAGGTCACGACCTACTTTTAGCGCTTTACGAAACACACTGACAAAGTTTGATTCATAGGCCTTAAAGTGTTTTCAAATCAATTTGAAAACAAATGCCCACAAAATATATCATCGACATATTATCAATTAACAATTATAAGATTTGATGATCCTATCATATGTCGAAAAATAAACGTTTATATTTGTAAATTTAGGTCAACTTTGAAGTGACCTTGAAAAGATTTGCCCGAGGGTCATGCCTTGAACAATTTTGTTTTATATTTGGTTATTTTAAAATCTGCCTGGTGGTTCTGGAAAAAGATTTGTTAATGGTTTTGTTTTCAATCATGTTTAAGTCTTATTTTAGATAAACGTGATGACTTTGTACAAATTTGACACTGATTGGCCATCAACTTCCTTTAAAAAGTTATGCACACCGCACACACATATATAGCATTCATCACCTGCGTATGTAATTTAAATATCTCAGTTGATTCGATACGCAAGAGCATGCTCTACGTATTTAAATATCTCAGTTGATTCGATACGCAAGAGCATGCTCTTCGTATTAACAATTTCTACAAACAAGTGAATGAAACAAAAATATCAGCAGATTTGTTTAAAGTCATTATTTCGTAAGTTCTTTGGTCGATACCATGGCTCTATCAGCAGATACAATTTATCATTGAGTCAAATGCTGACTGATGTTTTTCATACCAATTTATAGTCCATTATTTATTGAATTGACGACGGATTTTCCCGTTATTTCCTGATCATGACAAGGAGTACACGGCGGGTGTGACCGGTCGACAAGGAGTGCTCACTTCTCCATGGCACCTGATCTAACCTCTGATGTTTTGGAGGTCTGTGTTTGCTCTGCTCCTAATCTTTATTATTTTATGGACTTTGGATCTGCAATACTGTTCGTTATCTCCATATGTTTCATTGCTGACATACAAACTAAATGGTAAATAATCAGAGTGAAACGTTTGTCTGGAATAAAGGAAAAATATTGTAGGATACTTCAAATTCAGAATAAATTAATCTACATCAAACGAAACTTTTTTTTAATTCGATCAATAACCGAAAGAAAAAAAACAACAACATTTTAATAGCCCAAAAAATAAGTATTCATTATATTTTTACTGTCTGCAGTAAAACGAACAGTAACTCGTATAAATGTTTCTACAAAATAGTACACGAGTTTTGCTTCCTCTTCCATTGAAATATAGAGTTAACAAACAATACACAATTTAGGAGCAGTGTTAACTCAAATCTTTGAAAATATCAGACGTGGGATCAGGTTCCACGGACGAGTAAGCAATCCTTTCAGATCGGTCACATCCACCGTTTGCGCCTCATCATGTTTGGGCAAAGTTTTATATACAATTTAGATTAGACATACAATTTAGATTAGACAATTCAGTGTGAAAATAATGGTCTATCAATGCAAATAGTAAAAAGAAATTTCAGTCAGTATTTAAATCAATAAAAGATTGATTGTATTTGCCAATGTCAATGTGTCGACCATAGAAATTGCAAAATGATGACTTCAAATGAGACTATTGAAACACTTGTTTTATCAACTTGTTTCTCATAGCTTTAAAACAATGAATTAAATTCTTAATTATTATTACTATTAATCAACAGTGAACTATTACTATTAAAATTATTACTATTTTAGAAGAACTTGGATTTAATTCTTCAAGTGGTAATCCAATTTATACTAATTGTTTTCCTTCTAAGGAAGAAATTCTTCAAAATCATATGTCAGTTTGAATATTTTTAATATCCTAAAGAAAAGAATGAATTTCAACTACAATATATATATTGGATTCCAATTTTCATAAGAATCCTTACAAACAAAGATACATAGCGGGTTTTAGTAAATGTTCAACCAAGCTTCTTTCTTTACTCCCCTTTAAGATATTAATAGTAGTGAAGGAGAAACTTCAAGATTACTGTGCAACAATATATTCAAGAAGTAGTGTTAATCAGATGTGGATACTCAAAAACTCCAAGGAATTTTTGGACAATTTGAAATCATAAGGTTTTACCAAAATCAACTGCTAAAAAAACTTATGAATTTTCAACTTTATACACCTCCATTCCCCACGATAAATCAAATACCATTTTTTTTATTTCATTGACAACCGCTTCTTCAGTAAAACTAGATGTGTTTGTGAAACATTATGCGCCCGGCGGCAGCAAAGTTCTAAAAAGCAATTTTTTGCAAATAGGTCACAGTCAAGGTCACACGATCATTGTCCTTGGTGTCATTTGAAAGCACTAAATTGATGGAATATATATTCCAAATATAAAATCTCTATCTCCTATGCTTCAAAAGTGATGGCGAAAGTTCGAAAAAGCTATTTTTAGCATATAGGTTACAGTCAAGGTCACAAGGTCATTGACCTCATTGGTATTTGAAAGAACTTATATATAGTGGAGTATGCATACCAAATATGAAGTCTCTATCTCCTATGGTTCGAAAAAGCTATTTTTAGTATAAAGTAGTAGGTCACAGTCAAGGTCACAAAGTCATTGACCTTGGTGTCATTTGAAAGTGTTTAATTAGTGGAGTATGCATACTGTATATAAAGTCTATCTTTCACGATTCAAAAGTTATGGCGAAGGTTAAAGTTGACAACAGACAGACAAACAGATAAACAGACAAACAGACAGACAGGACAAAAACAATATACGCCCCGAATAAATTAGGGCGCATAAAAAGAAACTCATTAATTTACTTACCTTGTCATTGGTCATTTGCAAATTTATTTTGTTAAAAACATTCTGATTGTACACTCAAGTACTCTGAGGTTAACATCAAAAAGATGCCTGAGTTTCTGATTAACATTATCTATGTTGTTTTTGGAGACCAGGTCTTTAAACAATCTTTTGGAATTCCCATGGATACCAAATGCGCCCCGTTATTAGCAGACCTATTTTGTATGCATATGAAGCAGAATTTGTGCAAAATCTTATGCGTGAAAAGAAGAAGAAACTTGCTGTGACCTTCACCTCGAAATTAAGATATACAATGTATCGACGACATATTGGCAATTGACAAAGGTAATTTCCATTCTTATGTCGATACGATATATATTGGTGAGCTTGATATAAAAGATACCACAGAGACTGATACATCAGTTTCATATTTGGATATCTTACTTGAAAAAGACATTAATGGTAACCTAACAACCAAGCTTCTTGATAAATGTGATGACTTTAACGTTTCCTTCAGCAATATACTTTCAATACTTGCAAACGGGGTTTATATATCTCAGTTGATTCGATACTCAAGAGCATGCTCTACGTATTACAATCTCTCAAACATGTTGATGAAACAAGAATGCCAGCAGTTTCGTTTAAAGCCGATACAATAACCTTGTCAGCAAATACAGTTTATCATTGAGTCAAATGCTGACTGACGTTTTTCATACTAATTGGACAAATTGGTAGTCCATTATTTATATACTTATTTTTTTTTAAAATCTATTTTTGTAATTGCAAAACATATACACCTCTCTCTCCCAATCTCATACCTGTTGGAAAAAGCAAATACACACACGTGATTAAACAAATAATAGACATACATAAGGATAAACACACACACATCAATTTACATATAATATACATACACATAGACATGCAATATGCAATGCATGTTCAATAAGTAATAATATCAAGAGTTACTATTAGACACATTAAAAAGACATTTCCACTTTGACCATCTATTTCAATAAAATGTATTTCCTGACAATTTTTCTTCTAAAGAAAATTAATTATTCAAATATTTTAAAATATTATTAAAAACATTATTATTTATTTCAGTATTCAAGATCAAAAGTCCATTAAACAATACAAAATAGGAACAGAGCAAACACGGACCTCCAAAACATCAGAGGTAGGATCAGGTGTCATGGAGGAGTGAGCATCCCCTGCCGACCGGTCACACCCGCCGTGAGCTCCTTGTCATGATCGGAAAATAACGGAAAAATCCGTCGTCAATTCAGTGTATAAATAATGGACTAACAATTAGTATGAAAGCGTCATCCAGCATTAGACTCAATGATAAATTGTATTTGCTGACAAGGTCATAGATTCGACCATAGAACCTAGAAAATGATGTCTTTAAACTAGACTGCTGATAGTCTTGTTTCATCATCTTATTTGTCAATAATTTACCTCGTTTTAGAAATTGTTTATTCGTAAAGCATGCTCTAACGTATCGAATCAACTGAGATATGTAAACTCAGTATGCAGGTGATGAAGGTATATTGCTGGTATAAATATAAGATATGAAATTTGTCATTCTTAGTTGTGTTCGCCAATATTTACATACAAAGATTTTCAGTATTTCTTTTTTAATTTTAAATTGTTTTATATAACAACTTTGAATTGATTTCCTAACATAATCAGGTGTAAGCATGATAATATTAGAATCACCAACAAAATAGTAAATCGTCTTTTCATCAGTATTGATAATTCCTTAAACAAAAGTTTTAACTTCTACATTTTCGGATCTTTTCATATTAAACGTTATGTACAACAAGTAGTTAAAAACAATAATCCAAGATTATTGAGGATGTAAAAAGATTTTGAAGAAATGGTATTTAAAGACATCAATTACTTTATATAGAACAAACTGAAGCAAGGCACTTCTAGTACCCTCTTTCATGTAAAAGCAATTAGTTATTGTATTGCACTTTGAACTTTCTATGTTACACAAGAGTTTTGAGGGAAATCTAACTGCGAAGTATTCAGATCACTATGCAGTTCAACATCATAAATACTCTTGATAGAGAATAAATTACCCAATATTATATTAAAATATTACATTCTCAGATCCAGCATATTCTAGCTTTCTTCGCTCAAATTTAAATAAAAATTATCATATTCCGTTATTCCTGGATTTGATATGGCTGCAACAGAAGCTGTAAAAGAGGATATGAAGCAAATTAATGATCCCAAATATAAATGTATAACTATCAGAAATTTTTGTTTTGATAGATAATGGTAGTATACATATATCTGATTCACAATACCTCCTTCGGAACTAATCTCATGGTACATGTATTCATTCGCATCCTCATTGTCTTCGAGTTGGGAGTTTTGGTAAACAGGTCTAGATAAGAATTAGAAAAAAAGACAAAATTTGATTTTATTTCAGTTTTATCTCTTATAAAAACCGGTGTAAAACTGTAATTGTGGAAAGTTTTGTTATTATTTTAAAGAGACTCCGTTTCCTTGCCCATTTTTATTCTATTTAGTTATAGTGGGGGCTGCCAAAAACATCGTTTTTTTAAAAAAAGAGAAAACAATATTATTTTACCATTTCCTCCTTTTTTAAAAGTCCCACATATGTACTAAAAACTAAACTACAATAATAAACTGTTTATCTTAAACAAGAAAAATAATGTTTGACGATCCTTTTAACTTAAAAGTAAATTAATCGTACCCAGGTCAGTTTTTTATCTTAAAATAATTTTTTATTTAGTTGTTACAGTTGTATTGTGATCAAATAAAACATAAAAAACGGTTTACTCACCTCATATCAAAACCATCTAAAAGAAACAAATGAAAATGTTAAATATCTTTCACGCCCATCTTTCTTTTAAGAACTGACATTCTTTTTCTGTAGCTTGCTAAATGACGTTGGCCAATGAAAATTAAAATATTTTTTTACATTCCAAAATTAAATGAAAATTCTTTCATTTTCATTTCATGGCTTGAAAACACACAAAGATAATCTAACAGAGATGAAACTTTGTAAGAACACTACAGTAACTACTTTAATTTGTTCCTAACCTTGGCCTGTGGGGAAGTTTTCATAGTTATTGACTTCATAAGGTCCTTCAATTTCGTCATAATCGTTACAGGAGGGCGGTATTGCTCTACAAAACAATGAACAATTAATTAATGCTTTTCTCTTGCATAATATCTTAACGGTTACGGTTATTGTTCTTCTAGTAAAACATTAACATGGAAGTGTTCGTGATGTCATCAATCAGAAAGTCAGGTCAAATCATTATAATGGACTGAAACTGATTCATGTTCAGTCCTATTTAAACTGAGTGAATTCTGTAAAAATGAGATAAATACGAGTTTTTAAAAAATAATTAATCCCTATCATTTTGGTTGAATATGATCCTTAATTGCAAACTATAAGTAAATGAAATAAAATTAAAAGAAAAACAATTGTGAATTCTTAGTAAATACTGAAGTGAAATGAATAAACGAGTAAGTAAACTCAACATATATATTAAGTAATATCATAAAGTCAAGTTAAAAAATTACAAATACAAAGAGCACAATAACAACCCCAAAACATGTTAAGTGGTATCAGATACCATGGAGGAGTAAGCATCTCCTGTTGATCTGTCATACACACTGTGAGCTTATTGTTAAGGACAGATGATACAAACAAACTTATGTCAAAAAATTTGAAAATAACACCTCGTGTAATGTTTAAATGAGTTAAATAAATAAGTTTCACAGCGTAGTTTTTAAATTTTTATTCAAAATTTCACAAAAATGGGATTTGAAGTGATTTTTTTTGTATTTTTGATAAGATGGTTTCAAAAGGGCAGATTTTGAACATCACAGAAGGTTTACAATTTCTTTATATTCTAAAAATTTGTTACTTGCTTCATTTTTAATGATATTAGGCCAAAAAATATATACCGATCCAAACATCCATTTTTCGTTTGTCTCATCTGTCCTATCGTAAACCTAGTAATTAGTAATCTACCTAATATAAATGCCAGTAAACAATCCACTTAATGAGAAATTGTATTTGCAAACACGGACATTGTAGCAAGTAACACAAGCAACAGATAAGCAGAGAAAAATAGCTAACCAATGCCATCTTGATTAGAAAAAAATTATACCTTTCACCTTTCTGGATCACTAAAAAAAATATTGGTAATATTGAAAACAGTGAAAATTATATTATAATTGTAGCAAACGTAGGTATGGAATTAAAGCATATATTTTATCATAAAAGTGTTCGTACGGCAACTTTAGTGTGATAGTGTGATATAGTGTGATAACTGTCTCAAATACCCTTTTGTGATTCTTTTAGAAATATCATTGAGCAGAACACACGTATGTAAGTAGAAATATATGTTTTCAAAGTGCCTATTACCAAAGTTTCGGATCTCCTTTACTGTATACATTTACCTAGGTCACGAACTTTTCTTTCCGTTTTAGGTATGAGGTAGATTGATGATTCATAAATACATGTTACATGTAAAATACGCTTGAATATAAATTCTTTGATGATAAATGAAGGGAATTTCTTTCAGATGGTATTTTTTCCCGATCATGCAAATGACAAAACATTGGCTTAGGTATGGGTATTTTATACATCAATCATTTCATCAATCAGAAGGGATATTTTTTGGTCTTGTTACATGTATATGAGGGATGAAAAAAAGTTCGCGAACCAATTGAATAACTTCCAAAAAAGAAATGCTAAAGGGTTTTAGTGTTGAAAGTTTTTCAAAGTAGTCCACTCCGACTTTAATACACATCTGCAACCGTTCTGCCTATGCGCGGATCACGTGATATAGGCGGTCACGTGACACGCTCCTTAGCGATCTGTCACAGAAGCTTAATTTTTTTATCCCGACTGTTATATTTCTTACCACGCAAGTTATTTTTTATATCAAAAACAGTCCATTTGTCAGAAATGGTCAAATCTCGGCAATAGTATGGGTGGATAATGATATTCTTTTGCAAAATGAGCTTGGTGCCATCGAAACCCAAGTCCTCTGTCTTTTAAGCGTCGTTTATTCCATGTGGATAATGTATTTCTTCACATTATCATATCTGATATATTATGGATTTGATAATTATATTATTGTTAAGATATTCATCTATTTTTCTAACTGGAAGTTGGCGATCTTTCATATCAAATTGCTTAACAAAGTACACGTCTCTTTCCCAGTTTGCTTTCACTGGGCAACAGAACAAACATCATTTTTAAAACAATTTCCAAGATATACGTTTAACTTTACATACAGTCGTTTATTTCTCGAATACGACTCAGTCAACTATTTTTTTTTTTACAAGTGATCTACCTCATGACGTCATTTACCATTGTCATGTCATAAACATGGAGGAAAGCGTTCCGGTACATATGCTATATATAGAACATGTGTATGATGTGTGGCAAATTTCATTCTGATCTGAATTGTGGTTTTGTAAATATAGAGATAGTTTGCGAACTTTTTGATCACCCCTCGTACAGAAAATATGTATGTATCAGAAAAGAAGTTGTTTTACCTTCATTCTTCACACCTTTAAGTCCTCTACACATATAGTAGATGGCAATAAAACATATGGCAAGTCCTGGTATCACAGATGCGATAACAACGAAGATTGTATTCACGGTCGCACTCTCATTTTCTGTTCAAATATTATTTACATCATTACTGAGCTGATGAGACAGATCCGCTATGTTATAAAGATGTCTGGAATTATTTTGAATATGTTTTTTTCAACTTAAAAGACATGAAATAAATCAAGGTTTCGGAGCAAAGGTAGAGGCATTTATTTACCTGAACAAGTCAGAGGATGTCCTGACCAAACTTTCCCTGGACCACACGTGCGCTGTGTGTTTCCATCAATCGGGATATATGGAGATGCACATGCGTAGTGACTGACTCCATGACAAGATGAGTTATCAGTTATGACTTTAACATTTTTAGTCGTCTCCTGTGTACATGCAATATCTATTTTAAGGAAAATGCTAACATTAATATTTACAAAACACAAGTTTTAATTTGGGACACCTTTATTGTAAGTTGTGTATTACGTTTTTCAAAGGAATTGGAATGATAACTTTTCAGTTTTACATGAGAGGAGAGATGAGAGATCAAATAATTTAATCTTTATGATTACTGATTTTCGATTTTTGTTATGGTCACGTGAAGGGACCAGTTATTTCCGAGAGAGAGAGAGAGAGAGAGAGAGAGAGAGAGAGAGAGAGAGATAACGTAGAAAAGGCAAGAAACAAGATGATGGAATGGAAATCCTTTTTTAAGCTCAACTTGGTCAGATAAAATCAAATGATACATGGAGAGAACAAACATTATTCAAGCCCATGGGTCTCTTGTTTGTTAATCTAGCACTGTAATCTTATATCTTTTTAAATACCATTAGGGAATCTCCATTCACCAGATGAACCCAATCCCGTCCTGATCATAACATATTTGATGTCATATGGAGTTGATTGTGAACATGACATGAAAATATTCCTGTTGACAGTGTTGCCTGTGCCCACTCTAAGAACACTTCCAGTCCATGAGACCCAGAAAGTATAAAAGTATATTTGACTCAAAATGACTCTCCTCAGCGAAGCACAATCAGTTCCATCTATACCGATTTTGATTTTTGAAATTGTATTGTTCTGTCCACCAAGGTGAATTTCATACTGTGAGCCGCAGTTGACACAGTCACTGCTAGTCAGTGCTAAGTACAGGTCGCGGTTTGCCCTGGCTCTGAAGATGAAAGACGTTCTTCCTATGGCCACAAAACACTTGGGAGTTAGACTAAGGTATGTGTTTTCACCTGGAGTAGTAATGCTGATTTCCGTAGAAGCTGAAAATATTTTTATACATTTTTTTTGAAAAGCAGAAGTACAGATTTGCTGTCTTTTTCCAAAATTAATACCATTTTTATATGACCAACAAAGCAATAGACTAGTATACTTACAAGTACACCCAATACGGAGACATGATGTGGAAATTGAAGGAGACGACCCGCATCCTCCATTTGGTTTAACACATGTCTTGTTTCTAATTACATTTTGAGAAAAACAGTCAAAGGGACATGACGACCATGGTCCCCAAAGTCCCCAATTCGCTGAAATAATTATTATTCCATTGACATTTGAATATTGGTTTATAATAAAAGTAACTTATTTATATTAATAACTTTACCATAATAAACCTATCAGTTTCATGTTATAAGAATTAGGTATATATGGTTTATAAGGTTAAGGACATAAGGGTTATAAGAATTATGTGTATATGGTTTATAAGGCGAAGGGTTATAAGGATTAATATCATAACGATTAATAAAGCATTTTATTTCCTATCTAGCTTGTAACACGAGCTTTGATTGGTTACAAAGTCAAATTGTGTAAATATCCGAAAATGCACCCGATATTGTGTTTAAATGGTGTAAATAAACGTGACGTCACAATGCATACATTCTCTATGATAAAAGCTAAAAATCATGTTTACAAAGCATTTTTATGGGTACAAAGGAAATAAATTGTTTTCCAGGTCCAATTTTCAAGATTTGATAATGATAACAAAAATATGCTAATTACACAAAACACACGCTGAAAATTACAGATTCATTGTTTTTACACCCTTCGGCCTTCGGCCTCAGGGTGTATTTGAATCTCTTTCAACAATTGTTGGGGTAAATCCCCGTAATAATTTGAACCTGGATAACTAATAGTATTATGTAAAGGTCGTGGCAACAATCGCCGACTCAAAAAAAAAATGAATTTGAAAAAGGTATACTTGCCTTCATCGTCTTTAATAATCATTAAATATTTGATAGATCTCAATGCAGTCGTAATACTATGCATAGAAAGTTAAGAAATTTTTAAGTCCAGCGGAGTCTATATTTTTGAGTACGAATAAAAATTACAATGTTTCTTTGAAATTTACTACTACAGAAGAATAATTACACTTTCTTGTTAATTACATTGACTATCTAAGCTTTAAATTCACAATTCAAACACATCTACAATGAAAAATGAGGAAATAAGTAATTACTTTTTCCTTTTTCTTTTTTCTCCTGTTTATTCGAGTCACCTTATCTCCAAACACCACATAACTTTCAATTCAGTAGAGAAAAATATAAATAAAACAAAAATAGTATATTTACATTTACAGGTATCGTACCACACCAAAGTTTTAAGGCATCCAGAGCACGGATCTCCACCAAGCCAGGAGCTGGTTGCCCATATAGTACAAGAAGTGCCATAATTACATTGGGAATTCATTCTGTGATTGACGGACAAACTACTAGAGCAGTACCAACTATATTTACACCGCCAAATCCCTGATGTGATTTCTAGGTAGTACCCTGAATGGCAAGATCTATGCAGTGAGTATCCTTGTTGTAGTGTAACACACTCTAGTAAATACAAAACAATGCATTTTCAACACAGTCGTCCATTATTTAAAGAATTGCTGAATGAAATATATGTGTAAGAACATGGACAAAATTTGAACTTACGCGGAACAGATTTCTGATAGGATATAAGCATAGTGAATTTCTGCTAACTCAAAATGCTCAAATCAAAGAAATTCTTAAACAAAAAAAAAATTAAGTCTCTGATAACAATTAATGACAACAATTTGACAAACAGACAGAAGCATTAAAACACAATGAGTGGAGAATTTTTATATTCCTATCAAGCGGAGCTCATAAAAAAAATCTTCATGATGTGAAGAACTTGCTGTGAAACAAACACGACATCAGTTATTCCAACATTTTAACGATAAACAGTATACATTTGCATTCATATGTCGAATCAATAATACATTATACCCCAAATGAACTAGAAATGAAAGACATCTCACATTTCATTAAAATCTAGATGTTTTACTGACAATATGCGATAAGGACCAACTTAAAACTTAATTTTAGGACTGTATGATTATATGAGGTGACTCTATTTTTTTCTTTCGTCAATATTCCTTATTTCAAAAGCAATATTCCGATATCACCCCAAAGTTTTAACGTCTCACAACTTAACTGATCCTCAAAAGCATGTTTAGGTACGATGGATTTTTAAACCGAGGCCACTGACAGATAAGTTGATTTTACACGAATTTTAAAAACTCGTTTTAAGCCAGCATTTTGTGAATTTATGGTCGTTTTAATACGAAAGCCCAGAAGGCTCATTCGAGATTCAAGTTTCGAAATACGAGATTCAAAATTAAAATTCGAGTTTCGAGATCTCAAGATCTTTAACCAATCAAAAGGCTCATTGGATATATCATTCCATATACGAGAAATTAAAATTGAAATTCGAGTTTCGACATTCAAAATCCAGATTAACCAAATGTCAAATTGAAGGACAACATGTGTTTTCTCCCCTTTATTATGTTTTATCTATCAATAAATCGTTTAATATATTTATAACAAATGAGTCATTTGATTAAATTACAATGCAAGAAAGAGTGTTATAATATATTAGAAGGAAAGTTGAATAATCATTGGATTTTTTATCAGCAAGGTATACTTCAATTTATATTATGACTTCTTAAATATTAAATAGAATACATATATCAGAAATATATATATTTTTGCATTGTCTACTTTATATAAAAGGTTGTTGACATAATAATAAATTTATAAATAGTGACTAAAGATTAACAAAATCCTCACCCCTACCCGCCACACCTGCCAATTTTTCCCGACACTGAAAATGTTACTTTAAAAACTTGAAAGGCAATACATGTATAGCCTTGATAAATAAAAACCGTGTTCGTTTTCCTAATAGAGGGAATACTCAGTACATAAAAATAAAGTTTTCAATTACTTATCTTCATTTAAGGCTTTGATTTCTTGAATTAATTAACAATTATATATATACAATACAGATTGCAAATATGAATAGGAATAAATGCAGCATTCATTTTATCTGATATCAAACAGTAGATTATAAGTCTAACTATAGCGTTATAGTTTTATATTTAAGTCTCTGCATGACCATAGCGTTATGGTCAAAGATTAAAATATACTCAGTTTTTATTTATCAAGGCTACATTGCCTTTCAAGTTTTTAAAGTAACATTTTCAGTTTCGGGAAAAATTGGCAGGTGTGGCGGGTAGGGGTGGGGATTTTGTTAATCTTTAGTCACTATTTATAAATTTATTATTATGTCAACAACCCTTTATATAAAGTAGACAATGCAAAAATATATATATTTCTGATATATGTATTCTATTTAATATTTAAGAAGTCATAATATAAATTGAAGTATACCTTGCTGATAAAAAATCCAATGATTATTTAACTTTCCTTCTAATATATATAACACTCTTTCTTGCATTGTAATTTAATCAAATGACTCATTTGTTATAAATATATTAAACGATTTATTGATAGATAAAACATAATAAAGGGGAGTAATCAAATGTTGAACCCGCATTTGATTGGTTAATGTGGATTTTGAATCTCGAAACTCGAATTTCAATATCTCATAATTCGAACCTCGAATCTCGAATGAGCTTTTTGATTGGTTAATCTGGATCTTGAATCTCGAAACTCGAATTTTGAATCTCGTATTTCGAAACTTGAATCTCGAATGAGCCTTCTGGGCTTTTGTATTTTAATACCCTTGTTATAATAACATATATAACCTAACATTGTGTCGTATTTGGTTAAACTTGTCATACAATTTGTTAGGCCTTAGTTTTTATACTAGATTTGACTATGATTTGACTATGAAATATACCGTTTCCATGTGGCTGATCAAAACATAAATTTACCGGTCAAAATGGGATGCTTACTCCTCCTGATCCAATTCCAAACAATCAGATGTGAACAATAATATTAAAATATCACTATTTAATTTCTTTGCCTTAGTGTTTAAAATTATGTCCAAATTTTAATTATCTGGGGTGATTTTTAAACAAGCCTTTATGTCAACAGAAATGATTGTTTGCCACACATCCAGTCATTTTGCTTATGATGAGGACATGCCACATAGGTTTTCATTGCTAAGTTTCCTTCGATACAATGACAAAGACAATCCATCATTATGTCAAATACTGACTGATGTTTTAATACTAATAGGCGTCTCCATAAAAAATTCATTATTGGTATGTTAAACAATATACAATCAATCATATACTAAATGTGTTGTCAAAATTTGCACACTGAATTGTCTACGATTTTCCCAGTTATTCCTCGATTGACCGGTTGCCAGGATAGGCTCACTCCCCCATGGCACCTGATCCCACCTCTGATATTTAAGAGGTCTGTGTTTGCTCTGCTCCTGATTTGTATTGTTTACATGGAAATTTGAGCTTGAAAACTGACTGAATGTTAAAGTTGTACCTACCGATTTCCTGAACAAAAAGAAAAATCACAAGAATCACGCAAACAAAAAAGACTATAATCCTCATTTTTCGAGTTCATGAGCATTTTTGTTCTTCATTACTCTTATAATTGTTTGTGTTGTGTCAGTTTAGACAAGTTAATCAGATCCGTTATACATGGCTGAAAAACTAAAGGACACATTGTCAATTGTAAACGGTTATCTGTATCTATTCATGTGCCTCAAATCTTAAAATTACAACAAGTTGAACTCTGTCTTTACGACTAATTGAATTAAACCAATCCATGCCATTTTTGTTACATAATCAAATGAATTTCAAATTATAACTTTGAGTTCGAAATGCTCAATATTATCTTTTCAGAAATTGGTGGTGCAAGGGTTTATTTGTCAGTTCTTAAAGAGGAAAAAAATGACTTTAGCTGTTCAATAGCCTTGTTAAAACCAAAGACATTTAAATTCTATTGTCTGTAAAATAATCATCGTTCGATAAATTCAGTTTATTATTATTTTGAAAAGTTTGCTGATTTTCTCTGATCAGTGATACTGATGGCAAATGATCATTTTCTCAAATTGTTTGATTCTCGAACACCGTTGCTTGGAAAGGACTCTCCAACACCCCCTTCTCTCTTGATCTTAACTTAATTCTAAAATGAATCTTTTCAATTAGACATTGCATATGTATTGAATTGAAATAAAGATTCTCCTTTTTTTTTAATCAAGACACCTTTTGGTAGGACAGGGTTACAAGAACAGATAAAAAATTGTGCATAAAAATATAAAGGACTGTGACATTTATCACCTATTTAAAACATATATTTAAGAATCTTCTTTTCCATAACATATATTAGCCATAAATATTTATATAAATAGAGAGGCATCCTTGGGTATTTAAAATTAATTTTGTCAAAATTTTGACCTCAAATGAAGCATAACAGGAAAATAAAGTTACGTATAGGAAAATAAAGAAGAGCTTTTTTAGCTCACCTGAGCCGAAGGCCTAAGTGAGCTTTTCTGATAATTTTTTTTCCGTTGTCTGTCGTCGTTGTCGTTGTTGTTGTCGTCGTCGTTGTAAACTTTTCACACTTTCATTTTCTTCTCAAGAACCACTGGACCAATTTCAACCAAATATTGCCACAAAGTATCCTTGAATGAAGGGGATTCTAGTTTGTTCAAATGAAGGTCCATGCCCTCTTCCAAGGGGAGATAATTATGAATTAGCTAAAAATTAATGGTATCTTTTAAAAATCTTCTCAAGAATCACTTTGCAAGGAATGATGAAACTCACGTGGAATTATCCTTAGCTAGTGCAGATTCAAATTTGTTCAAATCATGACCCCCGCGGGTAGGACGGGGCCACAGTGGCTGATCAAAGTTTGATCAGGAAAAACTTTAAAAATCTTCTTCTCAAGAACATCAAAGCCAAGGTTGGTAATATCTAAATAGAAGAATCTGCAGGTAGTTTAGATTCAAGTATTTTTTTTTCAAAATATGACCCCCAGGGGAGGGTGGGGCCACAATAGACGATAAAAGTTTAACACAAGAATATATAGGGAAAAAAATCTTTAAAATCTTCTTCTTAAGAACATCAAAGCCACGGTTGGTCAAATTTATGTGAAAACATCCTCAGGTAGTGTAGTTCAAGTTTGTTCAAATCACGAGCTTGGGGGTAGGCTGGAGCCACAATGGACGATGAAAGTTAAGCATGGAAGTATGTAGGAACAATCTTCAAATATCTTTTTCTCAAGACCACCGAAGCCATGATTGTTCATATTTATGTGAAAGGATCCACAGAAAGTGTAGATTAAATATTGTTCAAAATCATGACCCACTGGGCAGGGTGAAGCGCAATGGATGATCAAATTTTTAACATAGAAGTATATAGGAACAATCTTCTTCTCAAGAACAGTAAAGCCATGGTTTGTCATTTTATTAGGAAGCATCTTCAGATAATGTAGATTCAAGTTTGTTCAAATTGTAACCCCTCCCCCTTACCCCTTATGCCTTTTAGAGGTAAGTTCGGACAACTCATGCATATACGCTTCTTAATACAAAACCGAGTTTTACTTTTTTTCCTAGCCACTCAGATGAGCGATGTGGCCCCTGGGCCTTTTGTTAATGTTTTCTCAAGAACAACTCAAGAACATCGGGGTGCAACTAGGTACCAAATATAACACACTGGAAAATAAAGAATTTTTCTATCAACAAATTTTTCTCGCGAACAATAAAGCCGTGATTAGTTAAATAAATATTCGTTGAAAAGTATCTTTACATGTTTAAAGAAATTTTGAATACCGTTCGGTATCTTCACATATTTCATGTACATAATGTAATCTTCAATCTGTTAAAACTAATGCCCTTCTGGAGGATAGGACAGTGCGAAAAGATAAACGTTTACAGAGAAGAATCTACGTGCATATATAAACTCTCTGAAATCTTCTAAATTCAGGATTAATCAAAACTTCAGTTACTGTTGAATCATTAAAATTCATAAAAAGCCAATTTTCGTAGATCGCTTAAGTTGAATAGATCTGTTGGTACATAATTTCTTATAACCACTCATGTATATCTACAAAAGAAAAAATAAGGCAAGAGACACCGTGGCTCTGTGTCACATAAAGCGTTTGCATGATAAAATGCCAACTCTCATTACTTACCTAAGTGACGAACAACTGTGCTCAATATTTTTCAAAGTTTTTAGTCAACTTAAAACATGTAAAACCCATAATGTTTTATTATTTATCAAAACTATTCGTGACAGTGTTTTCAATTCATAATATCATAAAGTGAAATATGGAGATAACGAGCAGTATTTAAGCTCAATAGTCCATTAAACAATACAATACTTGGAGCTGAGCAAACTCGGATCTCAAAAATATCAGAGGTTGGATCAGATGCCATGGAAGAGTGGGCATTCCCTGCTGACCGATGACACCCGCCGTGTGCTCTTTGTCATGATCGGGAAATAACGGCAAATTCATCATGTAAATAATGGCCCAACAATTAGTATAAAAAACGTTATGCAGCATTTGAATCAATGATAAATATTAATGAATTTTATTTGCGTACAAGGTTTTAATTGTATCGACCATAGAACATACTAAATGATGACTTGAAACAAGGCTGCTGATATTCTTTTTTCATCAACTTGTTTGACAACAACTTACCTCGTTTTAGAAATTAATGTTCATGGTAGAGCATGATCTTGTGTATTGATCGAATTATTTGAATAATATAAATCCCGTAAGCAGATAATGAAGTTAAATTGCAGGATATATAAAGTAAGGGAAATTGACGATTGAAAAGTTAGTCATCATGTTCATCAAAAAGCTTGGTTGTTAGATTTCCACAAGTGTACTTTCTGATAAAATCTAAAAACATATGTGTCATTCTCTGCGGTTTATTTTATTTCAAGCTCACTGGGATATATCGTTTCGACATCAGAATGGAAATGCTTATTGTAAATTGATTATGCCATCATAACTTAATGTCGAGTAGTTGAAGGCCACAGGTATAAGATTTTGTATACATTCTGCTTCAGATATATCCAAACATATGTCTGTTCATAACGGGGTACAATTGCTATCCACGGAAATTCTTGATCTCCAAACAAAACATGGATATTGTCAATCAGAAACTTAAGTATCTTTTAAATATCAAATTCAGAGTATTTGTGTGTACAATCAGAAGGTTTTTTAATGAAATAATTTTTCAAATGACAAATGACAAGGTAAGTAGATTGAAGAGTTTCATTTTTATTGAAAAAGACTATTCTTTTTTATCGAATATAACACGATATTCTATGTCTGTTTCTTTTTTTTTTTCATGTTTTACTACTTTTATTTCACTAACTTCCCAAAATCTAAAACTTGGATATTATAGTGGTAAACTGATGTTTATGACTAATCCCTTTGTAAGTAATAGAATATATCCAATCCAAATAACGGAAGCGACTTCATCCTCCTGGCAAATTCTCTTGCTTATAATAAGTACTAGTATAGAAATTCGATAGAAACAAAAGCATGTATCTTTGTTTATATTTTGTATTGTTGTTTTTACAAATTGTTTTGCCTCATTGATAAAATCCAGATATCCATATCAGTTTTAATTATATCGAAATGTTTCATCCTTTTTATTAGAACAGTTTGTCATACATTTTGCAACTTAAAATATTGATAATCGTATACATGTAATTGACAAATCACACTTTTAATATCATAGTTTTCTACGACTTATTTTCATTATTGCATGTCTGATTGAAAGCACTTCCAATAGTTATTTACCAAAAAAGAAGACTTTGTTCATATGAAAACTCGAATTCAGTTATCTGTTTTGTTGGGCCTGTGGCCTAAAAAATAAATTCAAAAAACAATTTAATTAGAAAATAATCATATATAGAAATCACATGGGCATAAAAAAATGTTATAATTATTGAGTATTTAAACATTTAAAACAATCTTATTTATTGTCTGAACATCAGAAAAAAATGTTTTTTTAACCAGAAACTGTTGACTTTTGACTAATTATTCTTTATCTGTTTTCAGTGTTACTCTTGCACTTTTGTTCATAAATAAAATAGTTCAATATCCATATATTAATACCTGCGTATTACATTTAGCAGCACATTAGAAGTAGTAAAAGTAATTAGTAGTAATATAAGTAGTACGAGGGCTGTTCAATAAATAATGTCCTCGGTGCTCACAAAGCAACAAAAACGCTTTTCAAGGATTTAGCCTTAAAGGTACTTGGACACAGATTTGAAGTTAATATTTTCTCATTTTTTCTGTATAATATCACGAATTATATATTTTAATAGTATTTCACACAAAAATTAATTAAAAATCTTATTTCATTTAAAAGTTATTAAAACTTAAAATTTTTTGGCGGGTTTGATTGACACATTCTTGCCCTTTCACAAATTTTAACTTTATTCTTAATCCTTAGGGAAAGTGGCAATTTTGATGTGTTTTAATGAGAAATATTAAAACATTTATCAAGAAAAATAATTTTATTCAGAGTAGAAATGTTAGAAAGCAAAACACCTTCACAAGTATCGTCATTCCGAACTAAGAGATGCGTACAGAGTTTAGCAAATCGAGCACACTCGTGTTATGTACACAGGTTTTGTAAACAGGGCTCGAGTTCTGTTATTGTTTATATGTAGAATTCACCGGGTGCGTTCAATCGTCACAGTCTGCTTACCACAACTGCACGGACTGACAATATATTGTGTATTTGTTTTGCTTTCGAACGTGTCTACTCTGAATTTTCTGGATTATAGTATTAATATTTTTCATTTATACAAAACGAGATTGCCACTTTTCCTAAGGATTAAGAATAAAATTAAATTTGTGAGAGTGCAAGGATATGTCAATCAAACCCGCCAAAAAATTTGAAATTTCAATATCTTTTAAACGAAATAAGATTTTTAATTAATTTTTGTGTGAAATGCTATTAAAATATATAAGTCGTAATATTATAGAGAAAATGATAACTTCAAATCTGTGTCCAAGTACCTTTAATGATTTTACTTAGATATTCTCTTTTTATTGAAACACATGTCCGTAACAGTTTTATCCAATTTTTGATTGCTTTTAAAACACATTTTTGAGTATTGCTCATCGTTTACTGGAATATGGCAGATCCGATGATTTCTTTGACTTGTTTCTTCTTTCTGAAAGGTGTTTTTTTTTTTGTTTTGTTTTTTTGTTTTTTGTTTTTTTTTTTACAGATCTGGGAAATGAAACAAGTGAAAGGGTGATAGATCTGGCGAATATTGTTGGTGTGACAAAACAACTATCTGTGTATCCCCAAAACTCCTTTACTCTTCATGGCCTGTGGGTTTGGACGCTGTCATGAAGAAATCTAATGTAGTGGATCCCTGATTCTGAGTTTTACAACAGCTTTAACGAAGGGTTTAATTTCACTCTAGTTTACTGATTCTTTACTATTTGTTTTTAATGCAGTGACTCGTATAACAATGAAACTATGAGATGAAAAATGGTCAAATAAATTGTAATCAATTCATTAAAGATCAGTCATGAGAGAAAGTCAAGCTTAACGTCATATGATTTCTATATAGTCATGAGAGAAAGTCAAGCTTAACGTCATATGATTTCTATGATGTATATCAAAGAGCTCCTGAGGAACATTATTTATTGAACAGCCCGCGTAGAAGAAGAAATAGCATTAGTACAAGTAATAGCTATACATGTTGTAGTTGCAGTAGTAGTATTAGTTTTAGTAATAATAGTAGTTGTATTAGTAGCTATTGTTGTTTTTGCAAAAGGTAGTAGGAATATACTCGTAGTAGAAGAATATGTACATTTAGAAGAAGTTCTAGTGGCAGCATAAGTAATTATTCTTTCATTATAGACGACAGTTATGAATAAATATGTTTGTTTATTACCTTACAGCAATCTGTCTGACTGAAATGATATTTATAAGATTTGGGCAACACGTAAAACAATTCAATTTTTAGTTATGTCTGTGAAGTACTTTAACCAATTATACAGGATCAAACAGATAACATGTAGCTGAGATTGCAGAAAGGAAATACATCTTCTATGAATGCTGATTTTGATTACATACCTGCATAAATACATGTAAATTAGAAAAAAAACCTTGAAATTTATTCTTTTATATTATTAAGGTGCTCATGAAAGCAAAATCCTAATGATTACTGTTTGTTACAATATATTTTAACTTTACATTTTACGTTTCCTCCAGTGAGGAAACGTGTGATTTATTTAATAATTTGTACAGGAGCCAAATATTTCATTAGTAAGATAATCCATTCGTGAATACTGCGTGTAAGACATATATGGTTTAAAGTTGACACAAAAGGACAAGAAATAAGTAATTTTGTACTAGTATTCGAAGACATCATCAGGTAAATCTCTCTGAAATGTAATAGTAAATTGTATATTCAGTAGAATTTCTAAGGTTTGAGAGAAAGTCCATTCTCTAGATACGTTACTTTTTTTATCTTAACAAAAAAGAGAGGATAAGTGACGTTTACCTTTATTCTTTAGACTGATGAATCTTTTATATACTAAGACAGATACAGCTGTTACTATCACCAGAGATACAATTACGACGACGATGATTACAATGGTGTTTATATTCACATTTGAGCTTTGAGTCTGCTCATCAAACGTACCATTCACTGTTCAAAATTGTTTAAAAATGAACTAGAGATCATCATATCCTTTGCGAGTGCTTTAGCTATAATTTGATTTTTATGAAACACCCGCCGTCGCGCGGAGATTTTTGTGAAATTCCAAGGGTAGATCAAAATAAAAGGATGCAGAATAAAATTCAAGAATTTTGCATAAAAAACATTGATGTATGTAAGAGGCATTAATCTTTTTTGCCATTGCACATTGTATTGAAACTGCAAACTGAATTAGTCAAAATCTGAAGGAACTTATCTTAAGGCTCAGAGTGACTTATGAAATAACCTGGTCATTTTCAACAAGTCCCCAACATCTTTTCAGAAATAATAATAATATATATTTTCATGATATAGAAAAGTTGAAAATGTATAGGCCAGATATTGTCTGAATTCTGCATCGTAATAAACCATGTTTTATAAAATAAAATGCATATGACTAACACATAGCATTTACTTTTGTTAATATTTTAAAAAAGTTTTAAGGTAAGTCTTGATTGAACATCATATTAATTATAGGAGTATTAAACTTTTTTGGAATCTTTACATACCTGAAGTTATAGCGGAAGCTGCAGTTTCCCCAGCAGAAGTAATGCTGTTGCTTGTAGATGTACCAGTAGTTGTTGATATATCATTTGTAAGAGTAGAAGTATCTGTAGTAGAAATAGGAGTAGCAGCCGTATCAGTAGTGGTGGCAGTTCTATCAGTACTAGTAGTAGTAGCACTAGTTGTATCAGTAGTGGTAGTATCAGCTGGTCGTGTACATTGGGTGATGGTTAAGAACACATTGTTGTCACACTGATGGGTGGCGAAACTGGTAGCCCCCATGTATCTCCCTGAGATGACACCTCCCTGATAATCAGCTTCATCGCTCGGAGGAACATTAACACCTGAAATTTATTACTTCTAAAATTTTATAATATTGTTTTAATGTTGTTTATAAGTTTCTTTATTATGAAGATTTTTCGTTTTTCTCTACCCTGGTGCAGTCGGTATCAGCAGACGCAGCGAGTTACTTTGCAATAGACTGATGCTTTTCCAGACTGAATCAATGTTTTTTACACCCTTAAGGACATACGCAACGTACTTTACCTACTGATAATTTTCCAATATATTTTTAATTTAAACTTATGATATCATTACATGTTCTTAGACAAAAAATCAGCATGCGTAACCAGGGGTTTTGAAAAGATATCGAATTTTGAAAATTTCTGCATTATTCAAATAAAAATGTACAAAAATCATAAAACATAAATTCCATATTATTTTTCATCAAAAATTGTTTTAGATAAGGTGTTCAAATCCATATATAGACATTAAAAATATTGCACACAGGTCCTTCATTTAGTGGAACTCTTCAACTGCAGGGAAGAACTCAAAAAAGTTCAAACTACGTTGCGTATGACCTTAAATATATAGGTATCGAATTAAGTGAATAACTTTCATACTATCAAAGTAACACTTAAAATTACCTAGAATGAAAATATCCATCGAGGAATTATGTAGCACTGCTCTTCCATATTCTGTAAAATTAGATCCAGAGGTACCCCCGTATGTAAGTACGACGTAATAATTCATTGAATCATCACGGTCTCCGTTGCCTTGCGTGAAGAAGCTCAACGTCGTAAACGTGATGGCTTTTTCTACATACCGGTGATTTCTATTATAAGTAGGATTTCCTTGTGTAAGAGCGTTTATGGCACTGATCAAGTCAGATGCATTGGAGTACTGGTTTAGCGGAAAGGCGGTTGTGGCTCCGTCACCAAAAGTTACTATTCCTATTCTTATTGCATTATCACCAATAAGCATTTTACTGACAAAAACTTCAAGTGCAGTTTTCATTTCCATGAAGTGAGTAGCGGTAACAGCAATCGTATCATCGATGATGAAGGCTATATCAAGTTTACAAGCTGGAACAGTAAAAAAAAAATAAAGATACTCAACGTATACTATAGTACATTAACACAAAATATAGAAACTCATGAAAAGTCTGTACCTAGACATAATAATCAAAGAAAGAGGGCGTACACGGCGAGGACAATCCCCCACTCTGAGATAATATTTTTCTCAATTTTCAAAATTCACGGAAAAGTAATATTTTTCTAAAATCTTGTTTTCAGTAATGTCATCTTTAAAACATTTCATTATTTCATTTTACTGAACGACTTATTATTCACGGTGTAGTACCTAAACGGTTGCTATCGGTAAAAAAACGCGTTCATTGCTGCTATCCGAAAATTGTCCGGCTACTAGTTGAAATAAATTATATAGATGTCACATGGAACCAGCTGAAAATGTGTCAAAAAGTGCCTCAAAATCGAGTAAGTTTCTGAAAAATTGTTGTTTACGGAACACATAGGGGATTTATTTAACTGATGCTAAATGCAATTTGGGCCAAAGCCTTCCAAAACATAAATTGTCGTAAAATATATGCAGTTTGTCATGATTCGAAAGTCACATACACCAATGTTTTTATGCTGTTTCTTCACTAAAGATTAACATTTGTTTGTGTTTTTAATCTGAAAATGTGTTAACCTATACTGATACATGGAAAATTGAAAAAAATATGTATCATAAGGGCGTTTTAATTGAATAATCAATCAAAATATAATTTTTCAAAGGTTACGGTTGCTATTAGAACACTTCGTATTCAGGCACCGGCTATAAACTGAAAACTGTGCACCGGCTGCTAAACAAAAATTTTTCTTTTCCAGCTAAAAAGAGAAAATCGTCCAATTTGTGGCTGCACAAGCCTAAAAAATCGAAAATATCAAAAATATGCCAAACAGAAACGCCATGTTCAAACGACTCTACAAGTATTTTAACTCCTCCAAGTCGTATTCAATTAAGTAGCAACAAAAAGGCACCTCTTAAAGCCAAACGAAAGTTAAAGAAATCAAAAAGAAAACTTTATGGAGAAGATAAAAACGACAAAATTATAAATGAAATGAAAGAAATATTACCCTCCGTTCTTCAAAAACTCTCAAAAGCTGGGATGTTTGGGGATTTCTGTAGCTTTCTAAGACTGATTCATCTCGAAAAGTTACCCTTGACCAATATTTCTCTTCTTCTTTTTCTCGATGTTGTTCGTTGGTATTCGCTCGATAGTACTGCAAATATGCAGTACTCTTCAGAGTGTCTCAAATTTTGGAAAGTTATGTACAGACTTTTCCATGGAAAAGCCCTGCGCTTTATGGGTGGATTGAGGGCAGCAGCAAAAGAAAACGAAGTACAAATTGATGGTCGTGGTGGTTATGACCCGGCAACATCCTCGATCAACTTTGCTGTGCCTTCACACAAGAGCCTAGCTCAATTTGGAGGTACAGCAGCCGAGTTACCTAATGAAATCCCACCAGGGATTATTAGCCAATCTCTGGACATAAAGCCAACAGACAAATCGTACGTTCTTAGCTTTGACGGGAAAAAATTGGCACCGGGTTTAAATTTACAGTGGGGCGACCAAGACCTTTTTGGCCATGAGGAAATAGAATCTTTAAATGAGTCAAAGAAAAGAGTAGATGATGAAACAAAGTATGTTGACGAAACAGTGCAAATTTGGGCTTGCTTGCAAGACACTGAAAAAATGGAAAGATTACAACACATATTAAAAGTTTTATCAATGCGCCTAAAGGATCTGCGACATTTGGTATTAAAGCAAGAATTTGCATTGAAAAAATTCCTTAAGGAGGGGGGGCCAGATTGGCGAAAGTCAAAGTTTGTTTACGCTATTAGTAGTGTACAGGCGCAACTTTTTCAGCTGCGAAGTTCAATAAAGAAAGTCTTAGATGTAAACAACGCGTTGTTAGGCCTTGGAGCATCAATTAATGGAACCACTGACGTATACAAGGATGCACTGTCTGTTGATTTGTTGTCACAGAAAATTATTATTACTCTCAAAGAGATTGAAGATCTCTCTGAACACATGGCAAACGATTTGCGGTTTATCAAACAAAGGTCTTCTCAATGGGCTGAAGTGCGAAAAGAGTTTAGATTGACAGGGAGTACGCTACATGAAGGCTTAGGGCTTGATTCATTGAAGCAACAACAGAGGCATATTTTGACAAAGTTGTTCGAAAAGTAGATCACAATGAAATAATTTCTGAAGAAGTTGCAAAGCGTATGCAACATGGTACAGAGTCCGAAGTACATGCTATAGCAACATTAGTAGCTAAAATTCTGCCTTTCTATCATCCCGACTTAACATATGTGGAAGAGGGGGCATTTGTCATAAGAAGAAACGAAAGGCCCTTCATTCTTGTTTCACCTGCTGGAAGCCTAGGAAAAATTAACCTGGATGGGACAAATATACCACAGCCACTCATCGGGTGCGAGTTCAAATGTCCTTCTCCGTCAGAATACAAAACACCTGTTCATTATGAGATTCCTGTCAGGTACGTGTTTTCTATATATACAGTATAAAATACATATTAAGGTATTCCCATCCTCAACCAGGAAGGATAACTCTTAAATTTACATGTATAATTTAAATCAATAAGTCTCAGAACGAAGCTTGAAAAATTAAATCTTTTCATGCGACGTTTCTTAATGTGCTTTATGATTTTTTGAAGTTCTCAGAAAGTTCTTTTTTAAAATGTTTTTTTTTTACCCCATAGAAGTATTTTAAAACTACGTATTTTTTTTAAAAAAAGAGGTTCTTTTAATCTGACCAAAGATATCAATATTATCTATTAACATGATATGAAAATAGAAGTGATTTATGGTGTTTTGCAATGGTATGAAATGCTTTATACACTATGCATTTTAATATGATCGAAATGTGAAGTAGGTGTCTTTATTTGCATTTCTTGCAAATTTATTTTTAGATTTACTTATCCCTGTATAATATGATTAACGTTAAAGATAGAGTTTGAAGAACTATTATGGGTGAAAACATTTCTTGGAGAAATCAGACATTTTTGTGAGCATTTTCAATTAGTCAACGCCTGATTTTCAGAACCTGAGGATCGAATTATCTTAACTTTCAGATTGCCTTTATTCGAAATTATTACTCAAACGAAATACATAATAAAAGTGCATATATACTCTTTTGTTGTTAAAGATATTTACCACAAGTTTTGAGTGAAATGGCCAGTATGAATGTCTCTGAACTGCTGTATGTATGTTGGACGGAGGAGAGTTCAACAGTGTTCAGGTTTTTATCGGTTTTTAATTTTTTTATGAATATGATATCAATATGTTTTAAAGAATACAAGTCGATTTAACACACAACCACGCTCACACATATTATCTAAATGGTCGAACGGTCTAGCGAGCTGTTTCTACACTTTTTGGAGACAGGGTTCCGCAGATCAAAAGTTTAACTAGAATCCCTAAGCCTTCTCTCTCTCTTTCTAGCTCTTGCTCTCCCTATATATATACCGATATATATATATTTATGTGTATACATTCCAGGGTCACCTTTGATGAGGATATGTTGTCAAGGATCTTTCAGCAAGCAGTGGTTCTTTATTCACCAGATGAACCAAAACGCCCGACAAGATTATCTTTGGAGTCCAAAGATATCAAAGAAATATTGGTAGATTATAGAGAAAAGAATTGTGAATTTCTGTGCGAAATATCCTCCATGAAGGGTACAAAATTAGGCTGTTCATATGTCATTGACGAATCCCCATACATATATCCTGTTTGTAATTTAGATACAAAAGATGACAGTGAGGACTTCGATGACATATCAAACAGTGTAAAATCCTGTATAATGGATGCTTTTCAAGTGTGTAGAAAAAAGGCTACAGAGGTTTTAGTTTGGATATTAGCAGACACTAATCGAATATTCAGTAAAGGAATTCCTTATTCTCTTCCTGTTGCCTATGCCATGAAGGGATATAGTCTTGGTACCCAAGTAATGAGAGATATGCACGAGCATGTATTACAAGCTTGTCATGAGAAAAAATTACAAGTCATAGCAAGCTGCTTTGATGGGCAATGGGCCAAATTAAGAACGCGAGACAAAAAAGGAAAACCTTTAACATTAATGCAATTACAGCGTGATGTCTATGAGGAGGCAACAAAAATGACACGGGATGCAATAGTTAAAGCTGACATGAACTCTTAAAAAGGCATCATTTTTCATCTTTGTACGACTTACTACATTCCTGTACGCCTTTGTCCGCCATATTTCTTCGATTCCGCCATATTTACTTGAAAATTTTTGGCCACCTGTACCTGTTATATAAAGCCTCGTGCATTTGTTTCACTTGAGTGATTTTCTAGCCTGGCTGTCGACATGTACACATCTCCGAAAGCATAGCTGTCATAAATCCATAAACTGACCAAATACATGTTTTAAAATTTAAACTCCAACAAAAACTAGAAGTATACTGAGAAGTAAATTATTTTTGAATGCATTTGCTGCAATTTAGAAAAAATAATACAGAAAACAGCAAAAGCCGTTTGGATATGCACGCATGCAGGTCGAGAGTACGCATCGAACGCTGTGATAAAGATATTTACCTGACTACTGCTATCGCTACAGGGATGTGCACATGTCGAAAGAAATATCCTATTTTACTTTTATTGAAATATGCATCTCAGAAGTCATGTAATCCATTGCTAACTGAACAGTAAAAAATTGTCACCACATAGCACTTGGACACACGTGGTCCACGACGATCAGTCTATTTGGTCAGGGGAAATTTCAAAGGTGGAAATCTGACTGAAAAAGTGCATTTTTTTTTTTTCAAAAATAAATATTACTCTTGTCTGTATATGTAAATGTAAACAAAATTTACAAACATGGCTTAATTACATTAAATTTATTTTAAAGCATGCAACATTACGAATCATTCATCCTTTGACGAGATTCTCCCGTGAAAGGGGGGGGGGGGGGTGCATAACGCTCTCTGAAAAAGATCGGATTTTATTACGATCATATATTTTCATTATAAATAATGTGTATTGGCTTTATTTATTTTTTTTTTTAAATAAAGACCTTATATAACTTGATTTAAACTTCTTTTTTTTTTTAAATTTTATAAACAATAAACGAGTTTGATTCTGTGGTACATGAATAATCAAAATAGAATTCATTGGCGGATCCAGAGGTGGAGTGGGGTTCCAGGGATTGGAACCCCCGGCCTTTATTTTTGTACACACATACAGAGAGAGAGAGAGAGAGAGAGAGAGAGAGAGAGAGAGAGAGAGAGAGAGAATGTTTTTTCTGTAACATATGAATATTTACACGTCTAATAATATGAATAATTTGAAGACATAAAAAAAATCTCTGTCCTTTCAGTTCTCTAAATCTGTAATTTTCGCGGATTTGCTTTCCTCTGCGTGTCTTCAATCATTTTTCAATCAATTATTTGAATCTCTTCACCATTTTACAACAGTATACAAAAATCACAAAAATATATAGGTGATTTTATACATAACAGTAGATCTATAAAGCATGCGTGAATAAGAAACTAAACAAAAACATTGTACGTTGCTATGAATGTGAAGTATGGGAATTTAGGCGGGGGCATATTTTGTTTTGTTTTTTTTCTTTATAAACGAGCACAGTTTTCTCAGAAAACAGTGTTTATCGTTATTCATAATGTGTTTAAAAGTAATCACTTTCTGAAATTTTATGCTTTTTTTCTGTTAAGCATAGCATTCTTTCTGAAAGTAGCGAGCTGCACTTTAGTATGTAATTAAACTCATCTCCGAGTTCTTTTAAATTACAATGGGGACAAATTCTATCTTGTCTTGGTAACCCTGGCTAAGGGCTTCGACCACCCACAAGTAGCATGCAAGGAAGATTCCAGCTAACTTTTTTACCATTTTGGACCATTTTTAGAAGTAACTAACTTTAAGAAGTATGCATGCAATATTTCGATTCGTTAAAGATAAAGATTTAAAATGTTCCCGTAGTATGCAGATGAAGGGGGGGGGGGGGGCTCACTTTTTCTGTGGATAATCTTTGCTGCAGTTTTAAATAAATTAAAATTTTGATTTGGAAGCTCTCTCCACATTTTTTGTTTGCAGGAAAATACGCAGATTCAAGCATGTAAAAGTAATGTACCGAACAGAAAAGTTACAGGAAGCCTCCTTTATCCCCTACAAAAAAGGATTGCATAGAGTGTGGTGCATAGATTTTTTTGTTTTGTTTTTTGTGTTTGTTTTGTTTTTTGTTTGTTTGGTTTTTTTTTGCTTGTCAACTGATTTTGGAGGTCCCCCATCAATATAAATTGAAGTGGCTGTGTTGTGATTCTATGCATGAGTGCCATGCGCGGATCTAGAGGGGGTTAGGACCCCCCCCCCCCCTGGGATTTGCAAGGTTATTAAATTTATATACAAAAGCTAGAAAAAAAGTTACGTTGGAACCCCCTCGAAAAACGCAGACTCCCTGGTAAACGCGAATTTGTGTTAAATTGGTACGAAAAGTCTAAGGTTTGAAGCATTAAAAGTCATCGGCTACACGCCCCCCCTCCCCCCCCCTGAAATAGTTTTTGAAGGTTGGCCGAGTTTACGGGGTTTTTTGCATGTCAAGAAATATCTGGGTTGGATATAAATTATTAATAGTCGAAGCATATAGGAAGGGAAAGCAAACTGCCGATGAGAGTTCCACATTCTACCAAAAATTAGCTTTTTTATACCTCTTGTCTACATAATTTTTGTCCAGATTCCTTACCTGAGAAGGCACATGTATTTGAGAAAGTTCCCAATGTTCCCATTTCTATGATGTGCAGACTTCACGTTTACATGAATTTTCCTTTCAATTTCGGCGTTTAGGTTTATTTTTTTGTCAAAAGTAAAATTATTATTTCAATTTTTGAACAAGTTTCGACATCCCCTCCTGAAAAAAAATCTTTGATCTGTCCCAAGATCTAATAAATGGTACAGCACAAATATACATATGATTTTATATCTATTATTGCGCTTACAGATGGTTACAGGAGGAGAGAGAGCGAGAGAGTTCAATGAATAAAAGAGTAATTAAAAATTATCTGTATTCAACCAGGTTTCAAGTATCCCTACCCAAGTTTTTAAAAGTATCTCCCAAATATTGCGACAGAAATTATTTTTATTTTCAAAAAAAAAACTAGACTGTCAGACAGGGATACTGAAATCTCGAAAGACTTCCTGTAATAATTATAAAACAGCCACATTCCGCAAAACTGTACATACTTTGTGGTCGGAGTGAGACAATAAAAAATCTTCAAAAATGGATTTGGCAGAAATGTCTGTCTTCCAAGAATATTTAGGTAACGGCCATGTAATTATTTCTGCCCCCCCCCCTTTAAAAATACGAATGCATCAATATCAGTCTAAACGGGGATGTTTTTTTTCCGCGGTATGTTAAAGAACGTACAGATGTACACATAAACTTTTGTATTCTGGTGAAATGTTTTTAAGTCTTGAACTAAATATTTACCGTATATCAAATTATTTGGTTTAGATTTGAGATTAGTACTAAAATAATCAGTTGTAATTGACAAATGAATTTTGCGATGCAAAACAACTGCAGACTATATAAAGAATGCTTATTAGAACTAGATAGACAATTTTCAGTTATACCTTATAAAGCCGTTATAATTATACTTTAGACCCCCCCCCCCATTTCAGCCGCGCAAATACCACTCTTTTCCACTTGTGATATTTTCCCTGACCAAAATCTGATCAGCACGGACTTAGTGTATCGACGCGCTAGACTGTACGGAGTAGATACAGTGTGTTTATTGACTTTTTATGGAGTTTATTTCTTTTTTGTGATGCATATTTCAATAAATGGAATTCAAGGTGTATATCACTTGACTTGTGCACATCTTCGGACCGATGCAGTGATCTTATTACCAGGTATGGGTACGTTTACAGCGTTCGACGCGTTTTCTCGACATGCATCAAAGTCTGCATAAAACATGCAAATCAAAGACGCTGATTGTTTTGTTCCATTCAAATGATAATAATTTCAAAGTGTGTTTACGGTTTTTAGTGCTTTTTATTTCATGTTTATTCTGCATAAATTGGCGCAGTGTAAAAATGCGTACTCGTGCAACTAAATCTTTCTTTCAAACTTGCATTTTCTTTCTTTTTTATAACATTTGATTCAAATCTTTAATTATTCAGAAATATGATAATTATGTTGTGTGGTTTGAAATGTCTTGATCAACCCATACGTTTTCAAATGTTTTACCATCGGAGATGTGCACAAGTCGATAGCCAAGCCAAAAAATCATTCAGGTGTAACGAGGGTATTGGGGTATATATCGTTACAATAAGACAAGGTATCTGAAAGAAATATGGCGGAATACGGCTATAATTGGTATGAAACAAGTCGTACATAGATGAAAAAGTTGCGTTTTTAAGAATTCATGTCAGCTTTAAGAAACTAACATCTGAGCCTATCATTGATAACGAAAAAATGAATCTTCGAACGGAGAGTTCAGGCACTGCTCTGGAGATTTCCTGCGACCGTTTAAAACGAGTGATGCAATCTGCAAGTAGCAAATTGAGGAGAAAGAAAATGAATACAGCACAAGCGGAAACAGGTGATACCACGTCGTGCCTTCCAGATGAAGCTTTAGAAACTTTACTCGTTGCTGAACATTCTACGCAGGTAGATAGTACCGTAAATGATCAGGAACTTCTCACTGAAGAAGATGTCACCATAGAGGGTATTGACAAAGAAAACATAGAGAATACTTGCCTTCAGACTGTCCAGCCAAAAATACCTGAAAAAACAATCGAAACAATTCTTCATAATCTAAAAACTCACTCAAACAAGAACATTGTGAAGAAATGGTCAAACAAAACAACTGATGGACTAAAAGAAGCTTTAGTCAACAGACTATTACTCATGAAAATGCAGCATGAAGAAATGAATGTAGTCATTGAAGCAACAAAAGAGCTACATAATAAATTGGGAATAAGAATTAAGAAATCATGCTCGCGGGATGAAAAGGCAAAACAAATTAAAAAAATGTTTAGTGAGAACGAAGATGACACATGGGAGAGGAAAGTAAAAAAAATGATGCCCCTCAAATATATTGCCTCTGTTATTGTCCGCTCAAGCTCAACCAAAATACCAAAAGAGCGACTAAATAATACAATAGCGGCTTTGATTTATGACACAAAATATGATGAATGGGGGGAAAATTCGACATTTCAGCTTCACACAAGGATCGAGAATGTAGGCACAACCATGTGGTTCTCTTTTCCCGAATTCAACGAAGAGAGACAACAAATTGAGCCAAAGTGTTTGGACGCCCACCATTTGTTAGTAAATCTACGCTGTAAGGTGTGTAAAGATGGCTTGCTCGGTGTACGGAAGGAGGCATGGCATAGAGTAGCAGAGAACAACAACTCCATTATCAGTAATGCTATCGTTGTTGACTTGGTGGATAAACAAAATAATGCCTTTGCGAAAAGGACATTTTCAAAAGCTGTTGAAGATGAAATGCGAAATCTTGCGTTTTCTACAGAAGCAGACTTTTGCAGCCTTATTCGTCGATGGTACGAATCTGAAGACTCAGGAGGTATTTCTGCTGTAGAAAGAATTCAACGAAAACTTGACCTGAAATCCTTCTTGCTGAGGGATGTTGATTTTGGAGTTTTTCCTCCACCGGGGATGTATGTCAAAGGATTCCCAAAAGTAATGTACGAGGGTTTTCTCCAAAGAATAGATACATCTATTCAGTTGTACAGTATTGTGAAAGGACAATCTTATAATCAGAGATCACTTTCATCTCTTGTAAATGAAACATTCTTTGGTGAATTAAGCGAGCTGGAACCAACAAAGCTTGGATGTCCGAAAGCTGTTAGTGTCCCACGCCTCATGGCTAATGTTACAGAGATGCAGTACTATCGATGTGATCCATCGGACAGGTATACATCCATTCTTACATTTCTCTCTCTCTCTCTCTCTCTCTCTCTCTCGCTATATATATACAGAATCCAAAATATAATGTTTTATAAATGTCAATCACACAGATTTAAATACATGTGATTAAATTACACGGTAATCTGCACAGAGCATTCCATATCTGCACCACACGGAAGTCTGTGTACCCCAATGAGAAACTGATGGAACCTTTATATCATACATTTGAAGAAAATGAAGTTCAAGAGATTTGCTACCTGAGGCCTGTGTCATTGATATCACCAAGGTACATGTATAAAACTTTATACATATGACATTGTGAATTTCAATTTTTTTTTCTTCTTCAAAGGATGTTTTCTTTATCAAATAATAAGTTCAGACGAATTACGAATGCTGGCCTGTGGGCCATAAAAGTTAGACGAGCTCACTTTTGATCTCAGTCTCACTTTTCCACTATATATTCCTTTGGAAAAAGTGAGCTGGTCCTTATTATTTTCTAAAATTGGTTATAAATATAACTATCCAATAATTCTATTTTCTAGAAACCATGCATTCGATGCTCCTGAGCTGTTTGGAAATCGACAACGGAAGTCCAAGCGATCTGATATATCACAACCTAGTGGTGTATCTAGAGGATGCCTTCCAGTTCGTCAACATCATAAGTGTGACGAATCAAAGATTTTACCGACGACGCGTTTGGGTATTCCTCTGCAGGAAAATCATCCTTAACATTTTCATTGGTAGAATACTATGAAATGTGTTTTTGTAATGAAAACCCAAACAAGACTGATTTAATACCATTTTTGTAAAGTTTATTCTGCACTCTTTGCAAACATCTAAAAATAATACATGCAAATTTTAGTTTTGGTTGTAATTTTCAAACTGATTTTTTTTTACGTTTATTTATTTCTTTAATTAACAATGAACACTACTTGTGTGCATAATTAAATCACTTAAACTAAAAAATAATATTCATTTGTAAAACACAGACTTTCAACTCTGTTGAGTAACTAAAGGGAAAAAAAAACTTTTCATTATGAAGATTTCCAAGTAAAGGCTTTAATACTAACATTCTCACAAGTGTAGAATTTAAACCTCATCTCACTTGTGTCCAGATTGTTTTCTATGTTTGTGAAAAGATCCTCTGTATTTAAAGCAAGTTCCACACTTCGAGCATTGGTAACGTTCGGGATTAATGTGAGCACGAAGATGGTCCATTAAGTACCGCTTAGCTTTAAATTTTTGCCCACAACTGTCACAACTAAATTTTTTAATGAATCCACAACCATGCCTAGCTAGACTGCTTTTATATCTAAAGCCTTTTTTACAAACATTGCACTGAAAAGGTGCTAAATTTTCGTGCCTTGCTTTGTGTCCCTCAAAGTTACTTTTGTAAATAAAACCTTCACCACAGTGGTCACAAATATATTTGTAGTCTGCTGTATGCATTCTTTTATGCGAATTTAATCCACCTCTTGTTTGAAAAGCCTTGGTACATATATTGCACCGGAAATGCTTCTTATCATCGTGTGTCAATACATGATCTCTTAAATCAAATCTCGAATAAAATATTTTGTGACATGTATTACATTGGTGGCCTTCTCCAGTGTGTGATACTTTATGTCTATTGTAGCTAGTTAGTGTAGAATATGTTTTACTGCAGTAGTTGCAATTAAAGTTCTTATTGTTATTGGTGTCCACCACTTCTAACGTTTCTGTTGCTAGTTCAACACTATCGCCGCTCGTGGTATTCTCGGCACCCATTATTGAGCTGCTTGTGAAATCGTCATCGTTGGAAATAATTGGTTTTGATGTTGAGGCTGCAGCTGATGTCTCTTCTACATGGGATTCAATTCCCTCTTTAATGAATTCAACTCCAAGAATTGACATTTCAGATGAAAAATTCTAAAAATATGTAAAATAACATCGTTATTATCATTAAGTAGGTAGGATAATTTATACATGTATACATATGTGATATATATCCAATCCATGGGATAAACAATTATAACTATGCAACCACCCCCCCCCACCCCCCACCCAACCCCGGATCCGCATTACTTTTGGTAGATCGACGATATATGAATTTTTGAAATGCGGAAAGAAGGGGGTGCAAAAGAATAATTGAAATAAAATCATTAAAAAGTCTATAAACATTGACAAGCAGAATTTTTTGGAATAAAGGGGGGGGGGGGGTAACAGCCTTTTGAATACCTACAAGAAACCATTCTTACATGTAAATGGGGTGTATGTTTTTTGGTTTTCTTTACGGACCTGTTTTAATTAATATTTACAGATATGTGCCAAAAATGATGATAAATTTATTTTTTCTCTATATATTTCATTGAAAACAAAATTTTGTAAAATCACTAGTATGACATTTCTTGATGAATTTTATCTCAAATTTCTTGATTATCAAAGAAATAGTTGTCCTATAGTCGATAAGAACAATATTTTTTTTATCTGATCAGCATTGATATTTAGATCACTACACATAAGTACTAAAATAAATAGTTATTAAATTGGACAAAACTTGACCATTTGCGGTGATTTTGAAAATTTTGTTGTCATTTAAATATACATGTATAGAGAAAAAAATAAAATTATCTTCACTTTTGGCACATAACTGTACATCACCTTCAAAGCCTGCTAAACATGCATGCATTTAAGATCGCTTGTATAAACTTTGTGACACAAGTTAAATTAATAATCAATCCTATGGTAAAAAAAATAATTTTTTTAGAACAATATATCATAATATATACTAGAAAATTGACTGTGACATACTATATACGACAACGAAACTTCCCGGCCTCAGCAACGCAAGAGCATGCCAAGGGAGATAATCTCGAAACTTGAGTATATTGATGTTATTTTATTTTGTATGAGAAGAGGCCTTCTATACTTAAATGTTTTGAAGTATACATGTATGTGCATTGTAAATAATATATAGTGCAACTCATTCAATCATGCATTCTTGTTTATATGTTAAAATTTTGTATTATTTGTATTCATATACCCCAGTTGAATAAAACTTGAAACTTGATAAAGAATAAAAATCTAAGTTTTATTTCCGATAGAAACCGGTGTTGTTGTCTAATAGCAGCCGTAACATATGTTTTTCGTGAAAAAAATGCTTTAGTTCTTAAAAATAATAAAAGTATAGGCAATTCTTGCGATTAAGCAATTCGCTATACAAATTTATAAAAATCTGCCGATTCACTTTTTTAAAAAAACCCATATTTTAATGCCAGGGAGGTACTTTTTTCACTTGTATGCACGTGTGTCCGAAAGCTGTCGACAATTATTCGCTTAAAAAAACATCAATCTTTTATCAAATTACAAAATTAGATAAATATGTCAGTTCCTTACTATCAGTAAAGTTCCGTAAGAGATACATCACGAATCAGTTAAACCATAATAATTGAATAATTTATCTTTTTGTTCACCCAGCGAAGAAAAATGCTTACCATTTCCTCCATTTTTTCCAATAGCAGCCGCTCAATTTTCGGATAGCAGTAATGAACGCGTTTTTTCCCGATAGCAACCGTTTAGGTACTACACCGTGATATAACGACTTTTATATTTTAATAGTATTTCACACAAAAATACAATGAAAATTTTATTTCATCTTAAAGTTATTTTTTGGATGGGTTTGATTGACACATCCTTGCACTCTAACAAATTTTACTTTTATTCTTAATACTTAGGAAAAGCGGGAATCTTGTTGTGTATTAATGAAAAAATATTAAGAACTTTAATCCAGAAAAATTAATTATATTCAGAGAAGAAATGTTAGAAAGCAAAACTCCTTCACAAGTATCGTCATTCCGCCCTAAGTGTTGTGTACAGAGTTTAGCAAGTTCACAACCGTGAAACGTACATACATAGTTTTTTGTAAACATGGCACGAGCTCTGTCATTGTTGATGTTTACGGTTCACCGGGTGTGTTCGATCGTTAAAGTCTGCTCACCACAAATGCACGGACTGACAATATATTGTGTGTATGTTTTGCTTTCGAACATTTCTACTCTGAATTTTCTGGATCATAGTCTTAATATTTTTTCATTTATACACAACCAAGATTGCCACCTTTCCTAAGTATTTAGAATAGAATTAAAATTTGTGAAGTGCAAGGATATGTCAATCAAACCCGTCAAAATTTTTTGAAGTTTTAATAACTTTTATATGACATAAGATTTTTTTAAAATATATTTTTGTGTAAAATGCTATTAAAATATATATGCCGTAATATTATACAGAAAATATTAACTTCAAATCTGTGTCCATGCACCTTTAACGTGTTCGGTCTTGAAAAATATTAAAGCTATAATCCAGAAAATTCAAAGTAATAGTGTTCAAAAGCAAAACATACACACAGTATATTGTCAGTCCGTGCAGTTGTGGTGAGCAGACTTTAACTATTGAACACTCCCGGTGAATCCTAAACATTAACAATAACAGAGCTCGTGCCCTGTTACAAAAACTGTGTAAGTTCCACGGGTGTGTTCAATTTGCTAAACTCTGTATATAATACTAAGTGCGGAATGACGATACATGTGACGTGCAACACTGAATATAATTATTTTTCTGGATTAAAGTTTTAATATTTTTCATTAATACACAACAAGATTGCCACTTTTCCTAAGTATTAAGAATAAAATTAAAATTTATGAAAGTGCAAGGATATGTCAATCAAACCCATCCAAAAATTTGAAGTTTCAAAAACTTTTAGATGTAATAAGATTTTTCATATATTTTCCTGTGAAATGCTCTTACAATATATAAGTCGTGATATTATACAGAAAATGTTAAATTCAAATCTGTGTCTATGCACCTTTAAGCACAAAAACTAAATACCTTGTGTGTATACTGGAGGCTGATAACAGGTGGTAAGTTGTCCTTTCACTGTATTTTTAATGTTTATTAAGTTGTTATAGAAATTTATATTTGTATATTTAGAGTAATCTCCACAGGATCCAACAGTCTCCTTGTAAGTCGTCGCGTAACTTGTCCCAATATCTAAAATAGTTAAAATGAAAATGTTATTTCGGATAACATGATCTTTTTTTAACCTGTGAGAAAAAAAAAGATTATGTATCACATATTAATAAATTTAACGGATATTGACTTACGAACGCCAAATATGATATTGTCCCTACTACTTCTAATGATCCTTGCTGTTGTGATTGGTTCACTGTAATATGGCCCCACAATAAAGACATAATAATTAACAGCATCCGCGCGATCTCCACCAGCAACCGTGAAGACGTTGTCACGAGCATGAATTAATCCCTTATCTACATAATGATAGCTGCTAGACGTCTCTGAAATGCCTTCAATTGTCCTTTTGACGGCCTCGGAGCTGGTATGAGCAGCAAGTCCAAACTCGGTTCTTGCTCCGTTATCAAATACCACAAAACCTACCCTGACGCCAGTTGAAGAAATCGGTAGATCCTCGACTAATTCCGCCACAAATCTTTTTATAAAGCGAAGATTAAAATTTTCAACGATGAAAACTATGTCAAGCTTGCAAGCTGAAAATAGACAAAACACATGTGATTGAAAATTTCCTAAATCTTAGCAGTCATATACCGGTACTTTAATTTATAAGTCAAGCTTGACAAATACTAGCTGAAAAATAAAACCTGATTTATTTAATATATTTAGAAAGGATAAAAGATGGTTATTCTAATGAAAAAATATGTTTATTTACCTATGACTTATAGCAGAATAAATTGTTTTTGTAAGACATAATATACAGTACATATTATAGCACCATATGACACCCAGACATACCTACTGACGTAGGACCAGGAAAAGCAGACGTTGGACAGACAGCGATTTTTGTAAGAACGGTGTTGAATTGTGTAGCTAGGTCTGCTGGGGAGGTTGCCTGAACGTACCTAACAGTACTTCCAGCGGCGGACTTAAGATCATTGGCCAATGTCGTGGTAGGGGATATACCTGAAGTTAGAGGTAGAACAATAAGAAACACTAGCTTTACTACCGCATAGAGGAAAAAATTTCCATTTACTTTTACCAGGGAATAACATATTGTTGCTTCATATATTTTTAGGGAATTTTCACTTATTTGTTTTAGAATTTGTTTTAGAATTATTCCACTATCACTTGTTAATGATGCTTATGTGTTCCAACTTATTCGCTACTCGAGAGCTTCTTGTAAGTACTTTTACTTTTAAGAAAGACATGCTTTTAACCGATTTTATGTGACCAGGATTTCAACAACTTCTCTTAAAGTAGACATGTCGTAAATTTTATGGTCGTTACAATGACATTAATTGTTAGCAAATATTGCCTATATATTTTGGCTTTTAACTGATATACATGTATTTCATGCCAATTGTAAGAATTTGATTTTATACTGAAATGAATAGGAAAAAAAATATTTATATTTTTAAAAGATTTTCTGAAATCAATCACTGTTCTCTATTTTCACTTTTTAGATTATATGACAGTGCTACTGAGCTATCGGATGAATAACTGTTAAATGCAGGAGGAAAGTCTTACTACAGGGAATAATGTCAAAGAAACTATGCTTTAAAGCGAATGTTGCTCGTTATACAAACTGTTTTCCTCATTATCATTCCCCAAATGAATATATTCGTTGGACAATACTTAAGGTAAGTCACTTCTGAAATTTGTTAAATCAAGGATTTTTTGAGAAGTATATTTTGGATAAGTACTCATAAAGTGTAACTCAAAATCGCAAAGAGAATAGGGGGCCAGTGTGCATCCTACTGATCTACAGTACATTTAAGTTGACCTTTTTGCACTTAAATTTCATCTCTTTGGTTAATTACTTAAACCCTTATTATATTTTATCAGATGTAAGCATGGCAATAAATATAATGTTATTTTACGTAAAATAGTTTGAATAACATTTATCATTGAACAAATCTTGCAAATTAATGCGCGTAAATTATTGTGTGACCTTTTTGCACTAAAAATAACATATTTGGGGTATTAAAAAACTTAATAGGCAATAAAAAATTTTCTTATATCAAACTTTTTACGACTTAAGTGCTGATCAGTCACAAGTATCAAGTAGTTTAAAATAATGAAAGAAAAAGGTGGGGTCAGTGATGTTAATTTTGAAATATTTGTCAAAATATGTGATTTTCAGGCAAAAAATGGTGTAAATTTGATCTTGACTTCTTTAATATTTTTTTCATTTTTTGGAAAAGTTTGTTGAGGGAAGGTGTAAAACTTAGTCCAAAAATATAAATTAAGACCTATATTAAATATTTTTAGCAATATCAAAACGGAAAATATTCTCCGAGTAAAATTATGTGAGGTTAAATTTCAATTACATTAAATTTTATAAATGTGCAGATTTGCAGAATTTTCTGCTAAATATCCTTCCACCAAAAGAAACAGTCCCTCATAAATCTTGCTTCTTTGTAGATTTTTGAGCAGTTTTTTCGTTGAATGTTAAAAAATTTACATTGTTGAATTCAAATATATTAAAAAAATCGAATTCTAATAAGTAGTTTTGAAGTAAAAGCTTCTGCGTAAACTTTTCTAAAAAGCTGACGAGTGACATACCTTAATTTGATAAAAGCGAAATATAAATTGTTTCTAAATAAATATTCAAAGTTCATATTTAAAGCATTGCTGGAAATTAACATATTTGGCTTTTATTCACACAGTTGATATTTTATTTTATACCTCAGAATACAATATATCATTGAATGTCAAAATAATGTAAACGTATCATGGAATACCTTAAAAAGAGTTAGTCGAATCAAAAGTTCAGCATAGTAAATATGTTTTAGTAAGTAGTGATATTAAAACCACTTTTCGTGTGTTTCTTAATAACCTGTAACTTAATTTGAATGTGATACATTATTTTGTAGTTTTTAAATATATTGAGATAACCATCAGGTGCATCAGGTGCCATGGAAGAGTGAGCATTCCCTGCAGACCAGTCAAACCCGCTTATGACTCCCTGTCAGGATCGGGAAATAAATAAAATATCCCTTGACAATTCTGTGTTTAAATAAGTTGACGATTGAAATTATAAAGTCATCACGTTTATCATACATCTTTCTTGTAAGGTTACCATTAACGTCTTTTTCTAGTCAGATATTGATATATGAAACAGATGTGTTAAGTACGAAAGCCCAGAAGGCTCATTCGAGATTCGAGTTTCAAAATACGAGATTCAAAATTCGAGATTCAAAATTCGAGATTCGAGATTCAAGATCCAGACTAACCAATCAAAAGCGGGTTCAATATTTGATTACTCCCCTTTATTATGTTTTTACTATCAAGAAATCGTTTAATGTAATTATAACAAATGGGTCATTTGATTAAATTACAATGCAAAAAAGATTTTTATATATTTTAGAAGGAAATTGAAATAAGTATTGGATTTTTAATCAGCAAGATATATTTCAATTTGTATGATAACTTCTTAAATATTAAATAGTTTACATATATCAGGAGTATATATATTTTTGTATTGTCTACTAAACTTAACTATATTTCCTCTATTAAGGAATGGACAGGACCCCCCCCCCTCCCCCGCGATGTTCAACGCCGGGAATTAATGGGCTTTTTTTTTTTTTTTACAAAATTATTTATAATACTTAATCAGCATGACTACAATACAAAAAAATCGTAAAATTCCCCGGAATAATCTATCAACAAAGAAATACCCCATATATCGTAAGAGAGAAAGGTATGCCACTCCAGTTTGTTTACGTTGTACCCCCACTGATATTTCTATGTTTAAAAACATGCATTTATTTTATTTTAACCTAAAATGTCGATTCACACTGTCTCTAGATATATTTCTATGTTAGTCCATGCTATCGAACTGACTCTGCATCTCGTATAATCCCATATTTTCTCCTTAAACAGCATTCTCTCTTATAATGTACAAGTAATAGGTTTTCAAAAAAGCTTGCCTGACTAATGCAATCAATATCTATAGAACCTGTAATCATGATAAGTTATATATATAAACGTTTACATTGGGGTGAGGGGTAATTATTTCATTAGAGAAAATTATGAAGACGTCGAACAAAACATCATGCAATTATTTTAAGTTGCTTGCTACTTATGAAAGCAATGGAGATCCTCGTTTTTGAAAGTGGGGGGGGGGGGGGGGGGGGGCAGCTAGAGAATTTTTTTTCGTTCATCTGCAAAAAAAAGGAATATCCCCAAAGTTGAAAATCCTATTTCGGGGGGTGGGTGGGGGGGAGTGAACAACTTTTTTTCAGTGTCAAGTTCTTTCTGTACTCTTTATTTAGCATTAAATACTGCATTTCCCTTTAATAAATTTCCTGTTATATACAGGGGGATCCAACCTTTCAATTAACATTTCCTATATATAGTAAAAGTAACGTTGGGAAAAAAGGGGGAGACACCCCCCACCTGTTGCTACGTGTCTGATGGAAAAGGAACAGTGAGATTTTGTTAAAAATTGGTTTTGATCTGTTTTTCGTTTGTTGTATAATGACGCCTGTGGAGTGTTACAAATACTTGGAACTCAGGACCAATGAGCAGTTTCATGTAATCCTTTTCGTGCTAACACCTACTGCGACTCGGGACTTGGTTTTAAATGGTCTCATCCTAAGGACCGATCTCCACGTCCTGCAGTGGATTCGAACACGCGACGTAAAGCTAAGTTAATCATTTCGCAACTCTATAAATGGTTTTAGAAGATGTAGTAATTAAATAAGGGAAATGAACTAATGAATTAATGTATCCTGGAAAGCCGTGCCTATGTAAAGGTTATATATTAATTTTAAAATTAAAATTTATAATTAGATTCAACTGCATAAACTACCGGGAAGACAGCTGAGAATATGATAACTACAAGAAATAAATGAATCGTTATGATTAACATGCAGAATATGTTTAAGTACTAGATTGTTGGGTATGCCAGAGCATCAACGATTGTTGGAAACAGCCCGTCATGCATAAATGACCCAACAAACTTGACGGTGATTCCTTATATTCCTCAATCCTGGAATAGGAGGGGCACTTTTCCTGAGTCTATTTTCTGTGTTTCATAGGAGAAAGAATTTTATCTCTGAAAACTGGGGGGGGGGGGGTGTGTCTATTTTCTGTGTTTCATAGGAGAAGGAATTTTATCTCTGAAAACTGGGGGGGGGGGGGCTGCGAGTCCAGGCGAGATATGATCAGAAATATTATGTATATTTGGCCAGTTTTCCTCTTAAGAACTCTTTTCCGTTTCGTTTATTTACTTTAAATGATGTAACTTCTAACTTCTTTCACAATATCACCGATATGTTTTTTTCCAAAGTTCGAAATTCCGATAAAAAGAACAGACTTGAAGTTTTCATTTCCATTCAGTGCAGTAGAATCATCCAGGAAAAGGGCGCGATGATATACACGTGACATTTGGCGCAAAATGATTGTGACACCCCTTACCTAGAAGACATATGGACTCATCCAATAGTACAGAAACGCAGAAAAAAGGTCAAACACACATGTCCGTATATGAAATCGCATGAAATAAACAGCTGCATGCAAAAAAACTAAAGGAAATAAACACATCAATATATTGTATAAGACGGTTATTTTTTTCTGCTAAATGTTTTGTTGAAACGGTAGTAACAAATTCCAGTGATAATCAGCATGCACAAAATTTTGCTGGCTATCTGTGACCTCTTCTCTTCGCACCTCGGAAACATCAATCCTTATACAGCCTGACGCCGTGACGTCAGGCAATAATGGAGTATTTTTTCGTTGAGCGATTATTCTGGGGGTTTTTTTCGCCCGAGATTTTTTCGTATTGTACACATGATGAATAAGTGTAATAATTATAATTTGTGAAAAAAATGTCCTTTAAGCCCTGGCGTTGAATATCGGGGGGAGGGGTCCTGTCCACAAGTACCTGTGGTTTACCTAATAGAGGTAATACATAAAATTTAAGTTTAGTAGACAATACAAAAATATATATATATACT